TGAAACAGAGAGAATGACTGGAACAACCCTATATACTGCAATCAATATGGAGATGCAATCATCTTCAATTCACACAGTCATGCTCACATTGTACAAAGCAAGACAGACAACGCTTTGTCATTTTGTCATGAATTATTAAACACGTCGCGAGGCAACAACACGTCAACTGCAGAACTTGACAAGACTCGTTTAAGGCGACAGATCCTAGCTAATTTTGTAAACATACGATCAATATATTATTTTCATACTTGTTCCATAATGATATATAATCAAAATATATGACTAAATGTAAAATAAATGTTTATGATTTATAAATGTATATTAACGTTAAGAAAGAATAAAGAAATACTTGGAAATATAAATAAATCAGAAAGTCCCCGTATATAACACTTACGCTTATCATAAGAATAAATAACGAACATTAAATAAATCCCCCCTGTGGTAGCACGTGCAGCATCAGAGCATTCACAGGCCAGAGCCAAAGGGGTCCCCTCATTCCCAACCCAGGGTTCGGAGGCGACGCGAGGCCACATGCCAACAGGTCCTTGCGATGACGTAAATGCACTTGCCCCGCCCCAGCCCTCCCCCAAGACCGTCGGGAAGGTCGGGCTTTTTTGCAATGCGCTTATTACGTGCGATTTATTTGCATTATATTTCACTTATCATCAAATCGGCCGCTGGAGTCACGAATTTACAAGGCGAACCTCATTTTCTCTGCCGTTCGTCGCAGTAAGGCGTGGAAATCGAAGTCAATTCAAATAGGCCTTTCTTCTACTACAAAGACGTGAAAGCAAGAGTCAAGTGCCAACTAAAAACTGGAGTGCCCGTGACAACAGGCAGCCTTAACCCCTGGCACCTCCCTCTCCCCCTTCCTCGGAAACTAAATAGCGGCTGTCGTTCCCGTGAGGACGCTCGTACCTTGGCCTCTGCTCTTTCGGCCTCAAGGCAACTGCACATTACGTGAACCACAATATGAATATAAACAACGCCGTTCAAGTGTGTCTGTCTGTCTCTGTCTCTTTCCATCTGTTTGTCTCTGTCTCTGTCTCTGTCTCTGTCTCTGTCTGTCTTTCTGTCTGTCTGCTCTCTCTAAGTACAGTTTACAAGTGAAATTCTGACTTCATTGTAAGAAAAAACTAGGTGTCGACAGTCCATTTCCCTTCACTCTGTCGCAACATCCTCCTTCAACCTCTTATCTAGATAAACAACAGCAGGAAAGGCATAAGGAAAGAATACAAACACAGCTCGTTCGAGAGAGAACGACGCGAAACGTCGACGAATCTCGGGGTAACTGACATGTCCCCGACACTCGCCCCCTGTCAATTACCTGGCCTCCGCCTCTCGGCCGCATGCCGTCCCACCCCAAAACAGCGCACCCGGTCTTATCTCCCAAATCCTTTGTCGGCGCCTATCCCCTCCACCTCCCCTTAACCTAAATCCATGCCGTCCCGGGGTAAGTCGCAGGTAGGTCCAGGCGGGCGGTAGTGCAGGTCGAGCGTGAGAGGTGGGAACACTGCCGAGCCCAACACGCCCAGCAGGTCGGGCAACTCACGGCGGCCCGCGTGTGGTGTCCCTTCACACCGTGTTATGGCTTCCTTCACTCCAGGAAGATTACGGTGCCGTTTCACACCATGGAGTATAGTGTTCCTTCATACCACGTACGAAGGGTATGGTGTTCTTTAACCCCACGAAGGGTATGGTGTCGCTTCACAATACGAGGATTATGCTATGCCTTTACACCGTGAGGATTAGGGTGTCCCTTAACACCAGGTGGGATATGGTATTCCTTCCCTTCACACCGCGAGGATTATAGTGTCCCTTCACAACCATGTGTTATGGTGTCCTTCAGATGGTGCTCCATTACATGTCACTTGCGGAATCTCTTAATTATGCATCCACAGATTCATGCTGATGGCATATTTCGCACATCTATATACAAAACACCAACTTTCAAAACTGACGAGAAAATGCAATACTCGTTCGTAAAGTTCATATACAATAAAATGCAATCGATTATGGGAAAAGACGAAAGCAAGCATTGGAATTTCTGCAGTCACGGGCTTCATTGGAGAGCAACGACATTACAGAATAGCCAGAACTTTACAGTTACGGCAACCTGCATTTACAAACGCTTCCCCAGTAGCGTTATAAATCAGCCCACTCGCCTGCATATTCACCGGAGCGCCGCAGCCAGTCCACACAAACAAATAAGACCCGACAGACATACACAGACAGACAAACGAGAAGTGTCTTAGTCACCAGCAGAACAACAAGACGTGAGACTAGTTCAGCCTCGAGCAAAAAGCTGGCCACACGGGAACCTCACGCAGGATTCCGGCGCGATATCCTACGGAAGCGCCGCCACCGCCGTCTTCCAGCGCCCGCCAGAGGTCCCTCTCGTCCTACGCTTCTGTTTCTCACGTTCTATCTTTATTCACCCCCCCCCCCCCGCCGGGAACGAGGAACCACCACCCTCTACCTCCCAGATTTTTCACCCTTTCCGTTCCTTTATTTATTCTCTCCCATCACACACCTGTTGCCGCGTTTTTCTTTAATATTGGAACTTTCACCGCCTTGTATCACAATATCAAAACATGCTATACAAATGTGCCGGTCTATTAACAGCACAGAACCCGTATTACAGGGAACGTGTACAGTCGTCGCTCTAACCTTTGCTTGAACCTAATCTGTCGACTCCCTTTCCATCATAACAACAATATAAACTGCATTTGACGTCTTATCTCATTTCGATCCTTTTTTTATCGACTGTTTCATCCGTTTTACCTTCACAATTCACACTTTTCCCACTATTAATGCATTGCAGTGAGGGTCCTTTTTATTTGCTCATCAACTACTGACGTTTTAAGACAATCAATCTTCCTGATTCGGTGTGCGTTGTGTGTGCCCTCCCTGGCCACAGCTGCCCCAGTGTACATACGACCAGCGGGTGAAAGTGCACCGTGAGTCCTCAGAGTAAATTCAAAACAAACCGCCACACTCGATTACGATTTGTATTAGGAAATTTAGTACAGTGAAGAACATGATAACAGAAAAAAACAAACGTTATATAACCGCGTGTAACTGGTAGTGTAAGTGGGGATCGAAGGTTTAGTTACTTAAAATCAAGAACCAAATCACTTTTTTCTGTATCTTGAGGCGTCTCAAAGACCTGTCACTCCACGCCAACAAATCCACTACGACCCTTCTCAGCGAACAAATACTTCCCGAGATCCAGGTTAAGTGTCCTTCTGGATCTGTCAATCTGCCGCCAGGACCCCCCCCCCCCCGCCATCGCCCGCGTCCTCATCCTCCAGGCGATCTCCTTCTCATCTCGTCCTCTCGACCCGCTCCTTCAAGTTTCCCAGCTACTGGAACCCCATCGGCCGCTACTCCGCATTTTATTACACTAACCCCCAACAAAAAGAAAAAAAAAAAAAGCTTGATATTTTTTTTCTTCTAAAAGGCAGAATAAAAATAAAATAGTTATCCAAGACTTCTCTAAGTCCCTACGGCTTTTTTTCCCCTTAGTGGCGTCCTTCCCTTACCCTCCCGTTCCTCATACTCCTTTCCCTTTCCCCTTGACGCAGCTGAACAAATACGGAGGCGTTTTCCCGACGTTTGCGTGCGGGGGACGTAACTCTCAGAATTAGCCTCCCGCGGATTAACCCCAAAAATATTTATACAGAGAAGCAAGTCGGATGAGGGTAATAAGTATATAAAATTGATAAATGCCAATAAAATTAAATATTAACAAATAACAAATAGTAAAAGGATAAAGGACGAATGACGACAAAATGAAAAACAAAAACAAAAGGAGAGATAAAAAAGGATGAGGCACATTAAGAGAAATGAAGAAACTAGAGATGGAGATTAAAGACAGAGAGAGGGAGAGAGATGGGGGAAAGGTGGAATATATAAAACAAAAGAAAAGGAAAGTAAGGATCACATAAGTATGAAGAGAAAGATATCAAGGGAGGAGATACAAAGAGAATGAAAATACATAGAGATAAAGATAAAGGCAGACAGCGAGTTCAAAAAATATAAGATAGATAAGATAAAGACAGAGCGTGATGATAAAATAAGACAAAGGAAAAATAGAAATGCAATTCAACACAAAGAAAGAAAGAAGGTTCAGAAAGGAAAGGAAGAAAACTGAAACACTTTAAAAATATATAATAGTAATAATTTTTAAAAAATTATATAAGAAAACGGAAAAATATATATAGAGAAAAAGGAATAAAGAATATGAAAAAACAAAGAACGTGAAAGAAAAGCCCGAAATAGAACCTAAATCAGTATCCCCTTCCGCAGCGCCATCCCCCAGACCCTCAGGAGACGCGGCTGTGCTCGAGCCCCAGCGCAGGCAGGCATGCGAGCGAGTGCGATCAAGTTCTTAATGAGCGCTCAAGATCCTGCTCTAAACTCGCTGGCTCTCGTCGATTGCCCGGCGCTCCGGCCACATTCAAGATACCGGAACCTGTTAGCGTCACAGGACCGTGCAATCCATTTACCTGGCTTGAGGTGTGGTCGCGGGCAGTCGTGTTCGCAACCCTGCAATGTTACCACAAGATACTCTTTATCTCCGTAACCGATTTTACCCTTGTCGCAGTTCCATTTAGTTCTTTGTAGGGGAAGAGTAGGGATGTCCCTATGTCTTCGGGTGTTTTGGCGTTCTGTATACCACGATTCACATGTACTGACTCTCTCTCCTACGTCTTAGGTTGACACTGTTTCTTTTCTCTTTAGGGTTAAAGTTACTGCATTATTTTTCAATTCGACATGATGACAACGACCTCGGGAACAGCAATATTAAGGCATCAAGGGTACGAACGCTAAAAATTATGAAACATCTGAGGAGAAGCGATCCTTTTCCAACGGTTATAACACCGTAAGCATCACACTATTCAAAATATCCAACCGAACGTAAGAACTAACGAATGTCGCAAAAGAAACAAACGCCTGATAAAGGCGCTCAAGCAAAGTAGAAGAAGACTACTCACCATACACAGCCTTGTTCCTGCGGGCGACCGTCGTGGCGGACGAGGCTTCGGTAGCGGAGGCGGTCGTGGTGGTGGTGGGGGCGCTGGTGGTGGCCGCGGTGGGCGTTGATGCCGAGGTCACCATTGCACCCCCAGGCACGCCCGTTCCCCCGCCCGCGCCCGGGGTATGTGCCTGCGACGATGCCACTGTTGGATCGGTAAGGGTTTAATGAGTTTTAGAAGGAAGGATCTGGTGCATTATTGTTTCTAAGGATTATCTTTCGCCTTTATGTACAACAGAGAAGTGTGCATTTACATATCTGACTCATACCAATAGGCAGATTACCTTGTTAATGAAAGAACATCATTCGGGATTAAACATTATTACCTTTGAGCACTACTCCTCACTGCTTACCAAGATTAGGCAAGTTGTTCTTTCAATAAATACAAGATATCTTATCTTAAGTAATAAGCTTCGTAGATAAATTACCCAATATGATAAAATAATTGCACAGCATCAGCTTTCATATCAATAACCTTACTTTGCATTAACTACCAGATTTGTTGGGAAAAATATAGCAATTACCTGTACTCAGCATCAAGGAAAAATTAACAATATTAGTTACATTATGGCGCTATCTTGGCTATTAGCAGGTATTAATTTTTTACTAATGGCTTCAAAATCCTTTAACCAAAAGCAAACAGCATTTAAGAGCAAGAAAGGGGTGCAAATTCTAGGTCATGCAGTAATAAAGACAAAAAAAAATCTATAACCAGGAAAGGACTAAAGTGGGCAACCTCGCACCTGCTGGAAACTGGTACATGCTATTGGGCAGGCTGCTGAGTGCCGAGGAAGGATGTGCTTTCTGATTGGTGCTCGCATAAAGAGAGAGGGACTCATGCGTTCTCTCCTCCAATCCCCTGCCAACACGGCTCGGGGACGGCTTGTCATTGGACGAGAGAGCGGGACGAGCATGGTTCTTGATTGGCAAGAAGGTTGGGCGTTTTGGGCGGAGGGCGTGGCCACCAGTGGGTGTGGTGGTGGTCGCAGGTTGGGGGAATGAGGGGGTGCTGGTCTCGGTGATGGGTGATGATGATGGCGGTTTAGGATCGCCGGGTTTCTTCGCTAGCTCTCCGTCTAAATATTGGGGAGGACAAAAATACCACACGTAAGATTCTAGTTACTGCACCTAAAAGGATCCCAAAATTGGAAAGAAAATCGAGTGTATCCACCAAATGAGAATCAAGAACTAGGAGTTACACATTTAAAAAACAAGACAAAGGACTATTACGTGATCTATAACTATATATCTATAAACTAAATGACCAAGATTATCTAAGAACCATCAATAATACCTAGACTGACATTTAATAAGGTGATTCTTGAAAAAAGTAAAATGCCCTAAAGAAGTTACAACAAGGAACCGACTGTAAGACGAAGCCTAACTCAAGAGCCTCAACCCCAGCAAGAATCAGTACCGAGATAGGCCTACATGACCTTCTGCCACGGTGACCTACCAAGAGAAATGTTCAACAGGGACAACATGATGAAGCTCGGCTCGTTCATGGGGTTCATCGCAGGCTAATCAAGAGGTCATCCTCGAACAGCTGGTAGCCTCGTCGACCAACTGCTTTGCCACCCTTTCGGCACAACCACCGCTAGCGTCCATCGCTTAGCACTTATTCCTTTCCTACGGCGGGGCTCTTTGGGTGAGGCCGTTCCTCGGGCGGGTGCCTGGCCCTCCCCTGGCACCCTTGGCCAGGCCAATGTGCCACACTAGTTTCACTGTCTCTGGGACGGATGCAAGCCAATCGCGTTTTTACTGCTGAACATATCACAACACATTAACAGCGCGTTTTCATGTCGTCACTTTTACAACCGGCATTTTCACAACCGTCGGAACTTCGCCAATCAGCTCTGTTCTTCCTGTACAAGATTTCTCGTCGTGTTGCTCGTGCAGTATAACGTTCGTCTTTAGTTTCAAACAATCTGGAGGGCATCAATATGATCTTCATACAATATAGGTCTTTACGTAAACGATCCCGTACCCCCTTTTTCAGTTTTTTTCTTACATTCACGTGACAGAAAAATGATTTACTAGTATAGCGACTGAGGAAAAAAATAATGACGTCCAAAAAATGCATTTTCTCATACAAACGCATTTACATTTCAGTAGTTTGGGGTGGAACTTTGTCGCGATTCTTTTATAAGCAAAATTAAAAACATTTCACATTTGATTTTAAAGAATCATCTACTAATAATCGTCTTTAACTACGAAGAGATACAGAAGACTTATCACGTGACCTATTTGCTTACAAAATTTGACGAATCCAGCGTAAAGGGAGACTCTTCCTTGCCCACATACTGTTTATTTCACGCGGTCTAAATACATGTTAACAACTGTATGTGAATATCTTACAATAGCCTATTTCGTTACAAAAATTTAAGACAATGTTATCTAAAGGATGGAAAAGAAAAAAAATATATAGCTGAGATACTGAGTGATAATGATATCTCACGCGGGGCGGATGCAACTGACGCAAAGTTATCGAACTATAATTTTTCCATGTTTGCGTAATCATCCAATTACATATGCTAAGTGTCACATATATGTTCATACTCTCTCTCTCCACACATACATACACACACCTTTCTCTCTCTCTCTCTCTCTCTCTCTCTTACATACATACAAACACCTTTCTCTCTCTCTCTCTCTTACATACATACATACACACATTCACACTCACACAGTCTCTCTCCAACACCCGCACCGCCGCGCCGTGCGGAGGACCAACAGTAGCGACACCTCAACACAGATCAGCCTGGCAGGGATGTTTATCACGGGCGGTGATGCCTGCACACCTGACCGACAGCCCGAGCCAGACTGGTTCCTGCCGCAATGGCAAGACGCACGAGACGGCAGCTGCATGCGCGCCCACGCACTCCTAGTCGTGACGCACAGGAGGGGGTTGCTGTGACGTCACACACATGCCCCATCAAACTTCCATGTACACTGACAAATATACTAATGTATTCACGCACGCTCATTTACAAATGCATGTGCGCACTCATTAAAATGCACGCGCGCCTCGTTCACCATGCAAGCTTTCATCAATTGATTCTTTCGTTAGTCAAAAAAGAAACAAGCAAACAACTGAACAGATCTACGAATTCCCAGCAAAACATAACAAATGTATTGAAAATACACTCGTAAACCCTTCCATCGCTAAGAATGACTGGGCATGTTGGCATACTCGCCACACCTTGTTCTCCGGTGCCCACTCTCGCTCGTCTCATCGCGTCATGGAAAAACTGCTGCTTGGTGTACATCGCACATGTACGAGCAGCTTTTTCCCGTCCGGTGTACACTACTCACGTGTAAGCCGCTTTTTCCCAACTCGGTGTACAGCGCACATGTGTAAGCCGTCTATCATCGCCCACCTCATTATAATTTGGAGCGTTCCTTTTTTCTATTTTTCTTCTTTTTTTGGAGGGGGAAGAAGGGCAAAATAAGAGCGAGCTAGAGATGAAGGGACTGTGAGGTGCAGTGGTAAAGGAAAGATAAAGAGACGGAGAGAAGGGAAGATAGATGAAGAAATGTAATATAGTAAGCGGAATGGATGGAAAGTCGAAGCCCAGAGATTAATCTAGTTTTCAGAGACCAAAAACGGAGGAGGAGGAGGAGGAGGAGGAGGCGATGGTGGTTTAAAGAAGGATCAGTAGGCCGCATGGACACTTCCTGCACATTGATCACCCGGGTGCAGTGCGCAGGGCGCTCCAAACAAGGCGCGAGGGGGCCCGCGGCGGCTTGCGTGCAGGGCCGCGAGCATCCTGCATATGGTAGTGCGGAGGTGTCGGTGCTCGCTCCGTCCCCCTCCATCATATTATGTAAGCAACACCTCCCGCATTACTTGTGTACCTTTTACCGACCCATGGATCGTTTCTTGACCACTTTTGGTACGCTGGACACACTTCCTTGTAATCCCTGTGCCTTTTATTGTGCCATAGAACAGCGTCAAGCTAATATATCGGGTCGCCGCCGGGACGAGGGGGGGGGTTCCTAGCAAATTGTAAACTGGTGTTGCATTGCTTGTAAATTCTCTATATAAATATTCTCACTCAATTTTTCAAGAACCATTTAACGCTTGGCAATCACCTAAAAAATTAGAACGGTTCCTCTGAGCTCCCATGGTGTTTTCAGGCCGGAACGAAAAAAAAAAATGCAGAACTTTCACTCGTACCCCTTCCCCTGCTCGTTCCTCACCTGGAAAAATTAAGCTTTTCCTCAAAATACTACCCACTCTAATTCCAGCGCCAAACCTTTCCTCTGCAAAAAGCCCAATTTTGCAACCTGCCGCGACCGAAGGGAGGCATCCTCGTCCGAAGGCAATCCAAGCGAGTCCGAAACCTGATCGTTCGCATCAATAATCTCACTGATTGCGAACCAGTCCCGCGTGCCTTCCCATCTAAGACTCGTTGGGGAGAACTAGCATACCATCAACTTAATCTAACACCTTAATGAACTGCGAGCATTACTGGCGCTGTTTGCACTTCAATTGTCATGTAAATACAGTTCGATGCGTCGCCTGATGATGGTACAATGGTGACTGGTGGATAGAGCTCGCATTAAATACATAAATATTTCAGAATTATCAACGAATCGAAGGTCACACGTCCATCATGCACATGATTTTATAATACAACTTCATTTTATCATTCTAAACAAGAACGAAAATGGAGAAAATGACGAAATGAAAAGAGAAAAATAAATGCACAATATAAATCTTTCAAAGCACGCCTCTGAGTCGCAACGTTTCGGCATCCCTCTAAATCAAAAATAAATCTTATAAGAAATTTCCGAAACCGCGACTATAACCCCTGAGCAAAGCGACGACAGATTAATGTTATACTACATCTAATACCCGCATATCCACCTATATGAGCCCGCGCCCAACCCTGGGGAGTGGAGGAGGGATCCGAAATTCGATTAAGACATGAAGGAAAGGGGTGAGGTTGGGGC